TTTCCCTTAATAATAAAAACCTTCATTTAAAAACTGCATGATGTGTTTACTTGTGTTATCTTTGACTAATATATAAATTTGTTTGACGATCTGAAACATTACAGTGTGACAAACATGCAAAAAGATAAGAAATCAGTAAGGGGGCAAACACTTTTTCACACCACTGTATAGTGACCTGTGTCTTTGTCCTTGTACAGTTAAGTAGTTTGTATTTGCTAGGTTGCCTGTCTAGACTCTAAAGTGATTAAACTATTTTAAATTCTGTTTGCTAATCTAGCATGCTCTAGCAGCCCTTGGGTTTCATTAGTCCCTAACCGCATCCCTCCCACATCCCAAATGAGATACTTCAATCACATTCTCTGCATGAATGTCCTCAATGTTTGAAACCGTGATGTGCAAAACTGATCTGAAAACACTTTTTACAGCATTTCTTTGCTAGAGAAACTGCAGCACTGACACGACTGACTCTTAAACATTGTTAGCAATTATTTGGAATTCATACAGACAGGATGCAGCATATAAGCATTCACCATCACAGCATGCCATGGCCTGGGTGCATTTATTGTTTGCATGCACTACCAGTCAAATGTTTGAACACACTCAACTCATTGGGAAAGTGTGTCCAAACTTATGCCTGGTAGTGTAGGTCACAGAGGAGATCTACACATGCGGCTTTATCTACTGAAGCAAAGGTTTTGGTACAAGGTCTGTTTTCTCCACCTCCTGTGTGCACAATATGAGCTTAAGGGTACAAACTGGCTACAAGCCCTAACCATGGCACATTTGTGTTTACGTTTTAAATCTTAGTCTAAACAAAAATGCACAATCCCCAACAAATATTATTGAAATAAATCAATAAAATATAAAAATGATTGGGTCTATTTTGCATTAAGCAATCAGTATTAATTAATGTCTATATCCTGTCAACAATATTTTCAGCCAACACAAAAGCTGAGGGACTCGTCACTAGTATCAGTTAATATTTGTCATATCAAAGTCGAATTATTTCTGCAAGTCAACCTATTTTATCCTGTATGTCTGTGAACTGAACCACCATTTTTGATTCACACTGATGTAAGAAAGGTCATCACCGATCTTAATCCCACCTGTAAAGAATTGATTGGCTTTGTTGCTTTTCATACCAAGGAAAACACCATCAATATAACACCAGATCAAATCAAACTGCTAAAAAAAATGTACTTGTGGAAGCCGGGTAGTAATCTCCCTTTAATATTAAGACACTGATGAATAGCGAAAAGAAGAAATCCATCTGTATTTATTTATAATCTTCCCTGACTTGTGGAAAACCACTACCTAAAATATTAACATGACTTGCTGGAAAACAATCCCATATTACTGATTAATCTCCCAAAATGTAGAGAAGATACTACAAACCAATTGTATTAGATATTTATGCAATGCAATCATTAGCAAGTAACGGGCAGCTGCAATACTGTAATCACGCCTCACCATCACCAGATGTAAAAGAAGCCTAGTGATATTCGACTGAAGGCTTTCAGCTCAGAAAGACACCAAGAGACACAGCAAGGGAAAGCATTAAAAAAATAAGGAAAACAAATTCATCATCCTATTCCCTAGGAAACAAAAACAGTCATAAATCAAAGAGAAAAATGAGGCTCCTTATCTGGCTAACTTCACAGCTAAGGTAGCTTGACTTCTAACAGAGTCTCAGGAGAATGCCTTCGAGGTTCCCAGGCAGAGCAGCACCATGTTGCACTCCGCTAAAGCAGTTATGAACCAGAAAAAAGAAAATTAACTTTAAAATGTTGTCCCAAGTATAGCAAGTTAACCACAGGAGGACTCTCCTGAGACATAGAAAAGGAGTCGACTGAAATTAGAGCAATGTCGGACACCTGAAACAAAAATAGGGCTAATTTCGTTCAGTAAGGCCAATGATGTCACTCGAGCAGCCTGCCACTAACAATAAATCAGTCGAAATGACTCAAGTGCTATGTTTGCAACTAAGCATTTGATTTATCGGTAAAGAAGAAAACACCGAGTGTATATAAAAACATTTGTAATAAACAATAAAAGAACTTCTAATTATACCATGAACATTTTGACCATTGCTGTATCTCATTCATAAACTTTTTCACACCAAAAATCATTTTAGTAGTAATCTTAAATGACCACACTCAGTGTAAGTGCATTCTGTCAATGGACACTGACATTTTACTGATGATAAAAATAAAAAAGTTTAAAGATTTTATATTTTAGCATACATAACATAGCACTTTAACTTTATTAGGTACACCTGTACATGTAATGCAATTAAAAAAACAACAACAGCAAAGCTAAAAACTCTGTTGTTACAAAAAATAATAATAAAAATAATCTGTTTTGATCCACACTGGAAAAGAGGTATTAATTTAACTCTATGTCTATTGCTGCAGTTGTACTTTGCAGCAGTGTTGTACTTCCCACGTCCATGTAATGCAATCCAGTTCAACATCACTTCATATTCCAACCTCAATCACAAACATAGTTAAATTAATTCCCCTAGGAGAGTGTCAATCAAATACGAACATCATTATCTTTGTAAAGTTACAATTTGTGGCTGAGCTGTTGTACTGGATTGCATTGAATTTTTTAGGCATTTTGTAATAAAGGGACCACAGAGTGTATAATTCCATATTTGGAAATAAGAAAGGCATTCTTGGGTATATTTTTGCTTACAACAATACTATCAGTATGATAACTTTAAGGGATGGCAGGTTTTTGTGGCAGTACATGGGTGACAGGTGTATGAGAGACAGGAGCATCCCAAGTTTATTAAAAATACTGGTGGAGAGGATGAGGAATCTCACTGTTAGCTAAACTAAATAAAATAAATACGAGGCCTTAAACCTGAAAGTCACTTATAATACCAAAAACCAATTTCCACTTGTTTGTCAGATCCATTTATCAAATCTATTTAATATAATTACATTCTGTAGCCTTGCTGGCCCTGTGAGTTAGTGCTATGGCATCTCTTCACAAAAAAGGAGAGAGAGCTGGAATAGCTGAGGTGGGTAAGGTTTACAAGGGTCAGAGGCAAGCGTCGCATGGTGACACTGGTGCTGCAGGAAGAACCAAATTACCTCTGTCTGCTCTGCCAGAAGGAACATGATGAGCGAGCATACAAGTCTGTCAGCTTATGCCAGCAGAATGCAGCCACCTGATTTTGGATGGAGGCAATGAGCTAGAATTGTTGCTACAATGGTGCCAAGAAAGTGACAGTGATCAGCATCCAAAAACAGTGCCAGACAAAATTCATTTACTGCCAAATCAATCCCACAACTCTGGACTGCAATGTGCTACTAGATAGCAAGGGATTACCACTGTCAGCCTACTGTTTATGGCCAAGGCAGATTTATGGTCAAGCCGAACTATGACATCATACGGTATGTGCTACTAACTGTCCACCTTATCAGTGGTAATTTGATTAAATATCAGTGACTACAAAGATCCCACAGCTGAGCATGGCACAGAGACTACATTAACATGTTATTAAAAAGCTACTGCTTTTAAATTGATCTATGCAGTCTACTAAAGTTTTGATTTTAATACTCCATTTTGGTCATATTTTTAATAATTCAACAGTGATAATTTATTACCAATATAGATACAAGTCATTAAATTAACAAGATATTATGGCCACTAACCAATAAGACACAAACATATATTCCATCATTAATATAATTTTGTTAATATAATTGACACTTGAGTATGCTTAACCTAATTCAGAATTCTGATTCACATTCTGAACTTACAGTGCTTGGAATTGTTTGTATATTAATTAGCATTTTTCAGCAATAGCAATTAAAAAACAAAAGTGAGGATCACAAAAGAGTGAATTCATCATGGTTAAAAGCTCATAATCCCATTTTTTTCTTGGCCATCTTGACAGAGCTACAGAGCTCGAGAGGTTCGAGAAAATATAGTAAAGTCTCTGTTCTTTTCCTCCTACATCCAGGTGCCACCGCTCATGCACTGTTGGGCAAGTTTGTGGGAGAATGCAGTAGTAGGCAGGCAT